TGAGGACTTTTCCCTCATGTGGGCTCTAATGCAGCCTCAGAACATGATCTAACCATAATTTCAAATACTCGATCACAAGAAATTCTAAACTGTCAGTGCTCGATTCATAATAGAAATCCTATTTATTCATTCAACAGCCTTTTAAGTCTTTATACACTGATAGAATCTAGAATAAAGTTGAAAAACCAAGATGTCTCAACCAAGAAATTCTAGTCTGTGAAGAAGACAGTATATTGTAATAAATGCTTTATAAATGCCTACACAAGGATATATAGACATGGAGGAGGGAGTATGAACACTGCCTCTCATGAAAAGTCCTACATAAACCTTAAAAAGTAAATAGAAGCCTACCATTGATAAAGGCCTTTCAGAGAGAGTGTGTATAGCAGTGTGAGAGGCAAGCCCACTCGTGACTTTCTGGGACAGAATCATTTGAGTTCTTCCTCTATAAAGGGGCAATAGCAGTACCAGCCCACTGGGGCATGAAATAATTAGGTGTGATTTTTGCAAAGTACTTAGAAATGTAGGTTGGTAGTCAAATTAAATTGAATTGAATTGTAAAGTTGTGTTTGTTTGGGGTTGCTATGCTGGGGAATTAATTAGATAACTCAAACTTCTGCTGAAGCTAGGAGAGGTCTCCTGGGTTTGCTAGAGCTTTGATGAATGATGATTAAATTTAGAGCATCTGGTCTAGATGTGAGGAGTTGTGTTGGCAGAGAACTACACAGGGTGATTGTCCCAGATGTTTGGAGCCTAGGGGACAGCTAATTGCTTATGTTAATATTAGTTAGACCTACACATAAATACAATTAAATGTAATACTTAGTGTTGTGTATATTGTCCCATTTAATCCTCACAACTTTATGAGGTAAGAGCTGTTATCTCCATTTCAGAGATGGGGAAATTGAGCTTAGAGAAAAATGAAGCAATTGCTCAAGGTTAGGGAAGTAGCTGAAAGCAGAGCTAGAATTTGAAATCTAGACTACATTTCAGATTCCTGAAAATTGGTGGTATCTGCTTCTTGGCATAGTTCTAAAAACAGAACAGGAACTAGCAACATTTCTTAATACCAGGACAGATGCAAGACAACTCCCCAGCAAGGCCCACCATATAGGAGTAAGACTCAGGAATGCAGTCAATACTCTCTTCTCTCGGTGTCCTTTCTCCCTTTCATGCTTTTTCCTCTCTTGGATATGCAGTCGACCTCCAGTTCTCTCCCCCTCCCTCAAATTACCCTCTTACACTGTTTCATGGGAGGAGGTAGAAGGAATTCAGAAGGATATCTCTCCAAGGGCGCTTTTCCTTATATTGTTCTAAATCACAAAACATTGTAACATAGATAATTTTGCGTTAATCATAATTTCACTTCACTGAGTGAATGCATAGCAATTGTTCATTAGGTCAACCCCTGGAGGCTTCCTTTTCCTCTTCTGTAAAAGGCAAAAACAGCTCTTTGCCTTACAGAGAGCTGTTAGGAAATCATCTGCCCATGGCCAATCTATACACAATGTAGAGTAATCTGCTTGGAAAGACTTGACTTTGAAGAACTTGAGACAGGCGTCCAGGTTTCTACAAGCCTTCTCCTACTCTTGTCTGGGACCATCCCCCCACCCAATTCCTTGAATGCTAGCAGCCAGGCCTAGCATAAAAGTGTGCACAAACTTTTTACTTGATCTAAAAATGTATGAGATGAGTCAACCACTCATTCTCCAGTCACTAAAGACCCCATCCCGCTCTAGTGTATCACAGACTTAGAATATACTCTCCAGTTAACCCAGAACAAGCCTTGGTGGTTGGCATTATGTATTGTAGATCTCTTTTAGACCAGATTTAGATCTCCCATTTGGAAGTCCCCTTTGGGAGACCTTGAGAGACTTAGTTATGAATTAATACACCCAGAGGTTCTAAGGAGCAGTGTGACCTTGAACAAACATTCTGCATTTGCAACAAACCAACCAGCAGTTGCCATTTTCCTCCCAAAATTAAAGCTACCCAATACAAAATCAAAGCTACCTGATACATGATAATAACAAATGCTCCTATCTATTGAGCACAATAAAATTATTGATTTTAATTGCATTTACCATTTGCCAGAAATTTAGTCTTTCACTTATTGATTAATTTTATACATAAAGGGCTTACAATATTCTGAGCCATATGCTCAGCACTAGGGTTAGATAAGTCAGGAAAAACAGTTGCCTTCATGGTCCTTGCAGTGAATTAAGGAAAACAGGCATTAATCAGATAACAACACAAACACACATAAAACTGGTTCTCTGCTGCTGGATTTAGCACTTTATGTACATTTTGTAGTTGAATCCTTACGACATCTCTGTGAGGTAGGTATTACCCCACTTTATAATCATGAGGAAACAGAGGTTCAGAGAGGTGAAATAACTAACTTAAGGTCACACAGCTGGTATAAGCCAGAGGTGAGATTTTTTTAACTCAAGTTTTCTGCATGGGTGGGTAACAGTCTTATTAGCCTAAAGATTAAAGCAGGAGCTTTAGATTCATGTACGCAGTCTTTTTTTTAACTAATGACAAAATCTAAAAGCCACTATACATCACACCCTGATAATCTTTTAACTGGGTAAACTGGTAGCAAATCTTTCTAGAGACCACTGCAGGACTCCCCCTTGTGTCAGGCTCAGATCCTTTAGTAGTTATTGGCCTGTGGAGCAGAGGAAGGCCTTATGGGACATGCTAAGATGTGTGCACCTTGAAGGTAAAGTTGTAGAGACATAGACCTCCAGATCTCTTCCAGCTCTTGACATCAGTGCAGCCATGGAATGACTAGCAATAAGAATGACCGTGCTATGGTGACAGGGATTACAGGTGGGAGAAGGCTCCAAGCTCAGAGCTGCTGTTGACAAAAGGCAAAAATGACAAAGCCAAAGGATCCCCACCATCCTAGACTGGGTGTCTAACATCCAAGCTTAATTCTTCTAACCTTCTGAATAGGAATTTTCCAGCCTCAGGGCCTGTATACAAGGGGTTTTGTTTTGCTTTGTTTTGTTTTAACTGCTCAAGGCTGCTCGTGGTCCTGAATACCATCATGTCAGCCAAGGGTTTCTCATAGAGATTGATGGGACCCTCAGCGAAATGAACACACTGGCTCCCTGATCAGAACCTTCTTGTTATTGGAGCAGAGAGAGAAGTGGGCAAAGTGGCCTAGATGACATGGTTGCTTGCTCAGTCCAAGATTTGTGTCCCTGATGAGGAACCTTGTCATATAGCACAAGCTATCTTTTCAAATGACCTCCTCTTCCGAACTGGCCAAACTGGATTTACTGAAACCTTTGAGTTGGCTACTACTAGACATAACATTCTGAAATGGTAACTCTAAACTCATGATTTGGTATCCTTGCTTCTTGGGCTCTATGGTAGGATCTGTGACCTTCAGACACACAGTGTTGGCAATGGCCTCCTCCTAGTTACTGATAGGCACAGGGTTTTGACTTCCTTGGAATCCATGGGTATGGTGGCCAGTGTAAATACACATAATGAGAACATCTGTTTCAACTAGAACCCCGTGTATAGGATTCACAGCTCCCCAGTCTGCCTTCTTGCCTCTGAATTCCTCATACTCCTCTCTCAGTTCATGGAAATGACACACAGAAATGACTACAATTATTAAATTCACAATTGTCTGGATGGCCATAGATATAGGCAAGGCACTTTCTAAGAGCTCTCTCATGGAGTTTTTTTTTAAATGTGAGTGTTTATTTTCCACCAGGAATATCCCTTTTTCAATTCTTCAAGAAACATTCTGGGTATTTTAGGACTGAGCAGGCCAAGGGCAATGGAGTGAGATATTCTTCAGTTTCTGGTAAAATTCTCCCTAGAGGTTGGGAAGCAGCTTTGGAAAAGGCTCCACAAAAAAACCTTAGCTCCTCTCTGAGCTGCACCTTTAGAAACAGCCTTCTTGACTGTATTGTATAGAGAGAATCACACCTTGTCCCCAAGGTCTCTGACATCCATCCTCACCTTATTCTATTCCAACTTATCAACTGTTTGTTACCCCCACAGGCCTCAGACGTTCAGATATCGCAGCCCTCTCCCTTCCTGGGGATCAGCTGTCAAGAATCTTTTGCCCCTTAATCTTCCCTACTTATTTACTCAACAATATGTATTGAGCACCTACTATACAGTAGGCATTATTCTTGGAGCTGGGGATACATCAGTGAACAAAACAGTGCCCGAATCCCTGGCCTCATGGAGCTTACATCCTAGCAGATAAGCTGTATTTGAAGTGAGTGGCTATTCCACCCTTACCATTAATGCTTGAGAAACCAGCACTATCCAGAAGTTATACTGAGCAGCTTTCCTAGGCCTAGTAGTGCCAAACTTTCCCTCTAGCTCAAAGCAGAGACACACAGGAAGAGAACCAAGAGAAAACTATCACTCCCTAAGCTGCAAATAATAAGTGCTGGATAAATTCAGCAGGAACACTGTTGTCCTGTGTGTTTCTCATCACTCACTCCCTTTTCTACTTCTTAGTACATGAGCTAGTTAATGTTAAATCTGGGAGAAGAGGGCCAGTGTTAAGGTGAATATAGCTTACTTATACATAGTCTTACTTATATACAATAGGAATATAGTTCTTCCTTAGGCTTGGAAATGAAATGGAAAAGAAGAAGTTTGGTGGGGAAAAGGAGAGAGGCACCTGCACAAATAGATATGCACACACATCCTTTCAGTTAGTGCGGTTAAGTCCCCTAGATAAGGAGATGTTACAGTATACATGAGGCTGAAATGGTTTGGCTCTAACCAGAGCAATGAGAGGATTATCAATGTGTTAGTTCAATATGTTTTCCAATGGTCTCAGTCCCCAAAGACTATAATTATAAAAGCTGATAGTGCCCCACAAAGGGCTCAACGGTAAGAGCTGAATCCTTCAAAAACCTCAAAAGTTAGCTCTCCACCACTAATCCTCCCCCACCCCAAGACCCAGGTTGACCCACAGGGGTCATGTGCCTCTGGGTCCTTTTGCTGTTCTAGGAGACATCAACTCTTTTCTGCTGGAAGTGCTTTAGTAGGCCCTGACGGATCTGCTTAGACTTGATGCAGTACACAATGGGGTTCATGAAGGGCGGGACCAAAAAGTGCAGGTTGGCCATGAGCACTGCCAGAGCAGAGTAGCTGTGCTTCTCTACACGGTGCAACACAGACAGCCCCAGTTTGGGCAAATAAAAGATAAGAACAATGCAGAGGTGTGAAATACACGTGTTGAGTGCCTTGAGTCGTTCCCCAGGTGATGTGATGCCCAGCACGGTCCATAGGATCAGAGCATATGAGAGCATGATGAGGGAAGAGTCAAGGCCCAGTGAGAGGAGGATGGACACGAGGCCAATCAAGCTGTTGATCTGGGTGTCTGAGCAGGCCAATCCCACAAGGTCACAGTGCAGGCAGTAGCAGTGAGAGAGCACACTGACCTGGGGAAAGAGCAGACGCTGCAGGAGGATGGGTCCCGGGAGGTTGAGCAGGACAGCCCTGACCAGGATGGCAGCCCCCACTTTGGCCATGGCTGAGTGGGTGAGAAGTGTGGCGTAGTGCAAAGGGTCCCAGATGGCAACAAAGCGATCGAAGGCCATGGCCAGCAGCACACCAGACTCCATGTAGGTGAAGGCATGGATGAAGAACATCTGTGCTGCACAGAGATTAAAGAGCAGCTCCCGAGCACCCAGCCAGAAGAACCACACCATGGTGGGGAAGGTAGAGGCACAGAGGCCAAGATCAGAGGCTACCAACATGGACAGGAAGATGTACATGGGTTCATGTAAGGCTGGATCTGTGAGGATCAGGAAGAGGATGATACTGTTACCCAGGAGAGAAACCACACAGATGAGGTTGATGGGGATGGAAACCCAATGATGAGAGGCTTCTAGGCCTGGAAAGCCAGTGAGGAGGAAGATGGAACGACCAGAAGTGCTGCTGTTGCAGGAGAACATAGTGATTCCAGGATGGAGTTGACCACCCTAGAAGTAAGAGGCATTTGTTCATGTGCTCATCACTTATGAAGTCCCTACTAAGTGTGGGCTGGGAAGGAAGAGCTGCCCCATAACCCTTTCTTAGGCCATGAAAGAAACCTCGTTCCTCTAGGAACCCCATTCCCCTCTATTTCCTGGCTAATTCAATCTTCTTCTCTTTGAATAAAGTTGTATTGAATAAATTGTATAAGTTGCTCTCTGCTTATTGCTTATGGCTATTTCTTTAGCCACACAGAAACTAAGTGAGAAACTCCTTTTTTACTTAAGCTATACCTAAAAGCCTACCTCCAGACTGTCTTCTCAGACTAAATAATGAAGAAAGGAGAATAATTTTCTGTTGAAATTTAGGGTGGTTTGAGGAACAAGAAATTTAGACTCCATTTCTATTTATTCTTGGAGGCAGGTTTTCCACAGTCTGACATATCTGTTAACAAATACACCAGAAAGGACACATTCAAACAAATGATGTATTTTCAAAACCATCCTCTGAGTACACTGGTTGGTTTTTCCTCTGGTGCTGTTATGAAACCAACATTTTCTGTATTTCTTTTCTGGAAATGCCTTTGAGGCCCAAAACAGGTTCTTTTGAACATGTTCGATGGTGATAAATTTCTCTCCTGTGGAGATGGGTTGGCTTAGAGGAAATATTCAACAGTTCTTCAAAGCTAAGTCTGGTGAACAAGATGGGATCGCAGATGCATTCACTTTTGTTAAACTCCTTCTTCCCCAACCCCACCTCATTGGCTGCTTAATGCTGGCACGTTTTCTTCTGACTCTGCCTTTGAGACAGTTCTATGGATGTGGACTCAATTAGATGGTACTTTCCTCTTAAATATCTCTTTTTCAGCCCTCTTACCATAAAAGCTGTTATGACAGCCCCAAGTATTTTGAAGTTCTCCTCACTGTGGGCAGAATGGTGGGGATGACAGGTCTTGAAGAGCACCACCTGAAGAGTCAGGCACAGAAGCATGAGCGTCCGAACCCCGGGATTAATTATGTTGAACAACGAGCCCAGAGTGTAGTGTGTAAGCTCATCTATTCCCATAACTTCACATAGCACTTGCAGGCTATACAGTCCCCCCAACTTCTCTCCTCAGCAACAGGACTGCATCTCCATTTATCTACTGAGTATCTTCACATCGATTTGCATTGTAAATTGATGTCCTGCAGAACCACAAATTGTAATTCCCCTACTTTTTCCCCAAAGCTCACCCTCCGATATCTGTCAGGCCTTCCTTCTTTTCCTGTTATCCAAGAAATCTCCAGGAAAAAAAAAGAAAACTCTCTCTTTTCACTCTGTAACATAGTCTTCAAGTCAACTATATTTGAACTATCCTCTCTTTTCAGATCCCAGTGAAACTAATCTAGCCAAAAGCACCATCATTTCCCTAGATATTATAACAGCCTCCTAACCATCCCACTTTCTTCAGTCTTTCTGTATTCTGATTCATCACCCACAATTCCATTAGAATCATCAGAATACTTAAGTACGGACATTTAAAGGAGTATGTGCAGGGGGAGGAAATGTAGTGACCAGATTTGAATTTTAGGAAGATGTCTCCTATCATAATTTTGCTTAATGATCCTCACTGGTCCCTGATGCTACAGGATCAGGTCTAAGCAAGAGCTTTACACTGGGTCCAGAAGGAGAAGGACCTTGTCCAACCTACATCTGTAGCCTACTCGATCACTTCTCCCCTAATCATTATAAATACTACTTATAAGACATCTTTCTACTCACCAAATTTACCATATTTGATAATTCTTAAAATATCTTTTTGGTTGAAATATACACATAGAAAAGCTTACATATCGTAACAGTAAAGCTTGATGAATTTCCTCAAAGTGAACACACCCATATAAAAAGCACCCAAATCAAAAAACAGAACATTGTCAACACCCACAGAAACCCCTGTGACCCCTTCCAGGCACCCCATCCTCTCAGTGATAACCACCATCCTGACTTCTAATACCACAGATTAATTTTGCCTACTATAACTATCTTTTCTATCTCTTCCTGTACTCTTTTTCTATCCTTCCTTTGTTCAACTTTGTCTATTTGTTGAAGGCATGAATAGACGATTTATGTTTTACAAGTACTCTCTCACTAAACTGGCTTTATGTGTCAAGCACTATGCTAGGAAATGGCGTATAGCAATGAAAAGTCACATAAGGTAGGAATACCCCAAAGGAATGTTCTTATTTGTTCCAATATGAATGAACACGATTCTACCAATTGGTTTCTGATGACAATTATTAATGATGATAAGAATAGTTGCTAACATTTATTCACCATGTGTCAGACACTGAGTAAGGATGTTATCTAAAATCTTCACAATAAGGAGCTGAGTCTCAGGTTGAATAACTTGCTACAAGCCAAACATCTGTTAAGAGAATGATCCCGATATCTCAGCTCTGCACTGATTCTCGAGGCCATGTGCTAGCAGACAGCTTGTGAAACTTTTCCCAAACTGTCAGGCAAGACATACATTATCTGATAGGCCGGGGCCCAAATGGAAAGTCTTTTTCTCTGGAAACAACTTACTCCATATAGCAAAATAGCAGCTTGGGGCCCACCTATGAGCAATCTTTTCACTGACTATCACGCCACATAGTGGCATATCATTTTGTACAAAGCTTCTGTCCACAACAGAGTGAAACGACAACCACACACCCACAATCCCACCTGAGGAAAGGTCAGAAGTGCCTTCTCAGTTCTGGCAATTGATATCCACTTGGCAACTTAGACACCCCCTTTCTCTTCGGTTCCGAGGGATCACTACATCACTATGCTGGAGTTCAATCCACCTTGCTGGACCCCATTTTCCCCCTTTTTGCCATGCCTCTAGCTTTCTGACACTTCTTCAGGGCCTTAAGTTTATTTTATCACAAAATAACAGTAAGAGTCAGAAATTAACACATTTGTCTCCTATAAATGCTCTCTACGCATATTGCTTACTTAATCCTCTATCCTTGTGGGATATTCTTCCATTTTCTGATGAAGAAGTTGGGGGTCAGAGAGGCTAAAGAACTTTCTCAAGGTCATGAAGCTAGGAGGTAGATCCAGGATTTAAATCCAAGCAGGCATAAAGACAAGGCTATTCACTTAATTGCATCATATAAAAAAAGCATTTATGGCACTTTGTGGTAATTAGATCCTTTGCCCTCAAGATAATTTAAAGGCCAGTTTCTCTGTCCCCCTCCCTCCAACTCTATCTCCCTCTAAAGCAGATGCAGAGGTTTGAGACAGGAGTTTGGTTACCCGCTAAGGGGAGTAGTCCTCAGATCAATCCAGCCTCTCTGCTTCCATCACTCCCAGTTTGCCTAAATTTTCCACGCAGATTGTGGCTCATCCTCTGGATGTAATGGCCAAGTTACCTTCCACAGCCCACCCACCCAAGACCTAAGAATGCAGCAGGGTCTGATACAAAGGAGGCTGCATCCTACTCCCCCCGTTCTAGTGCTGTGGGGGTGACAAGGAGTTCACCAAAAAGTTGTGCCCTTGACATGGGAAAAAAAGGACAACACTACTGACCTCACAAGAGTGGTTGTGAACATGGGAAAGACCATAAACTGTTTAGCACATAGTAGGCGTTTATTAAAATGTAACAGTAAGCACAGACACCCTAGGATTTCACATCCATTATCTCATGAAGTCTCCCTCCTCCCAAAGCCTGTGAGTGGCATCATCCCCTTTCTGTAGGTTAGGAAATAGAGGCTGAGAGGTGAGGAAACCTGTCAATGACAGAGTGAGCAGAAGAGACTGGCTTCTAGCACCGTCCATTTCACTCCAAAGCTTATGCACCTGTCCATTTCTCAGCACTCTCATCTCTAAAATCTTTGAAAATATTTGTCTCTTGAGATTATTGTAAAGATTAAATGAGAATACATGCAAAGCACTTAGGTCAGTGCCTAGCACATAATAAGCATTTAACAATAATAATGATGGCTAATATTTATTGATTATTTACTGCTTTCTGAGGTGGGTATAATTTTCATTCCCATTCTGCATATGGGAAAACTGAGGTTCCAAGTAGTTGGATAACTTGCCTAAGACCATGAAGTAAGAAAGTGTATGAGTTAGGGTTTAAATCTAAGCAGCCTGAGTCCAGAGCCCAGATTCTTAAACACTGCATTATGCTGTTTCTGTCTGCTAGCTATGATGATTATTAATATTATTAATGCTACAAATTCTCATCCCCAATGAAGATGAAATAGGATTACAGATTTATGGGATCTTCTCATTTACCACCCCTGCATCCTCCCTCACTGTTTATCTGCATCAATCCTTGAACTTCCCCATAGAAAAGATCTAAGATTATATGGGGCCCGTGTGCTTATTAACTGTCCTTGTGTTGCATACTGCATGAGTGTAATTATAGGCTCATGGCTTAGGAAGAAGAACTTTCGCCTCACAGAAGTAATCGCTAGAGACAGCAAAGGAGAAACATGATAAGACTAGATTGAAAAGAAAAACAATGAGAGAGAGACAGAGAGAGAGAGGAAGAAGAAGAGAGGGAGGGAGGGAGCAAGAATTAATGCAGAGCAGTCTCTTTCAAGGAAGTGGGGAAACAACTAAACTATCCTCTCTGCCCCTCTACTATCTTACTCATCCAGGTTCCAGAAGACCATGAATCGTGCAAAGATTGTGTCTTTCTCTAATTAGGGAAGTCTTTCCCCAAATGCCTCATGGCCAAACTATGAACTGCTGAGAAGAAATGACCCAGCTTAGAGAAGGTTGGAGACCCTTCTCCCACAAGAAGATTTCCATGGCAACCAGGCATCAGTCTCCAGCACTCAAGGGGATGTAAGGCTGTAAGCCTCTGGATTTGCCACCTGATCCTGGGACTGAAGGAGCCCCAGGCCTGGGGCCAAGAGGGAGGTGACAGAAAAACAGGACCCGGCACTGCAGCCCTAGGCTAGCAAGGACTATCAGGAGCTGGAGACCCAAGTTTTCCCCA